TCCTGTTGATGAAGCAATTGGGAATCATTTGCTCACACTCGTGGAGGATTCCTCAGTTGATACCGTGAGTAAAATGTTGGAATTAGCATTGCAAGGTAAGTTGCTTTTGCGTACTTCCCTTTCCGTGTTATGTTAATGTTATAACTCTTTTCGTGAAGATAATTTTTTAGCCTTTGTACGCCATTTTATTATATTATTTTTAGTAGTATTGGTTTACATAAGTTTTGTCTATCCATTCAGTTAAATGAATTATGAAATTCCTGTATATTTAGCCGAATATCCTATACCTTTTACCAGGGAAAGAGGAAAGAAATGTAGAGTTTGAAATAAAAACACATGGGCCGTCAGGAGATTCTAGTCCAATCAGCTTAATTGTGAATGCATGTGCAAGCAGGGATGTTGGAGATAGTGTTGTGGGTGTATGTTTTATTGCTCAGGATATAACAGGACAAAAAAATATTATGGACAAGTTCACCCGGATTGAAGGTGACTATAGAGCTATTATCCAAAATCCTCACCCATTGATCCCACCAATATTTGGCACTGATCAATTCGGCTGGTGTTCTGAGTGGAACTCGGCAATGACAAAGTTAACTGGATGGCGGCGTGATGATGTTATTGATAAAATGCTATTAGGGGAGGTTTTTGGGACACAGGCAGCTTGTTGCCGTCTCAAGAATCAAGAAGCTTTTGTAAATTTTGGAGTTGTACTAAACAATGCTATGACTGGTCAAGAGTGTGCGAAGATATCTTTTGGTTTCTTTGCACGTAATGGGAAATACGTAGAGTGCTTACTTTGTGTGAGCAAAAGGTTGGATAGAGAGGGTGCAGTCACGGGACTCTTTTGTTTCCTGCAGCTTGCAAGCCATGAGCTGCAACAAGCTCTTCACATTCAACGATTATCAGAACAAACTGCATTGAAGAGGTTGAAAGTATTAGCTTACATAAGGAGGCAGATTAGAAACCCTCTTTCTGGAATTATATTCTCTCGGAAAATGCTGGAGGGGACTAACTTGGGCGAAGAGCAGAAAAATATACTGCGTACTAGTTCCCAGTGTCAGCGTCAGCTCAACAAAATTCTTGATGATACAGATCTTGATAGCATCATTGATGGGTATGTTATAATCATTTTACTATACTACATGTATTTTAGTTTTTATGTTTATGGCTTTAAAGGATTTAGGATTTGCTGCATTGTTATATCAGTTTATACTATCAACAAATTTGTTCTTTTTTATTCTCTTACCAGTTATTTGGATCTGGAGATGCTCGAGTTCAAGCTGCACGAAGTATTAGTGGCATCTATTAGTCAAATCATGATGAAGAGCAATGGAAAGAATATAATGATTGTGAATGACATGGTTGAAGATCTTCTCAATGAAACTTTATACGGAGATAGTCCGAGGCTTCAACAGGTCTTAGCTAACTTTTTGTTAGTATGCGTGAATTCTACACCAAGTGGTGGTCAGCTTAGTATTTCAGGCACATTAACAAAAGATCGCATAGGAGAATCTGTTCAGCTTGCTCTCTTGGAAGTCAGGTAATTAAATTCATATGATAGAACAATCTAAACTGGCTTTTTCACCTTGACCAGATTTCTACTGTCCAGGTTAGCATCTCCAGCAGTTATTTTTGTTCGATTGTGTGCCTATTCTCTCCAGCCGAGAGGTTGTGAGTTCGAGTCTCCCCAAGAGCAAGGTGGGAAGTTCTTGGAGGGAAGGATGTCGGGGGTCTATTTGGAAACAGTCTCTCTACCCTAGGGTAGGGGTAAGGTCTGCATACACACTACCCTCCCCAGACCCCACTAAGTGGGATTATACTGGGTTATTGTTGTTGTTGTTGTTGTGTGCCTATTCTCTAAAACAAAATCAGGACCAGAAATTTTAGCTTGAACTCAATGTCTGAATGTTTGAAGTCCTATGGTTGCAATAGCATTTGATCTTTAACAGTAGAAGCTGCTAGTCTGCTACTGCTCTCTGTCTTCTCTCCTCCATTGGTTTTGTAAATATTAATTTTTCAGCCAAGACGTGTTCATGTGGTCATTATATAAAAGATAAAATGGATTAATTTAAAAATCACTCATCTGCTTGCAGGATAAGCCACACAGGGGGAGGAGTGCCAGAAGAACTGCTAAGCCAAATGTTCGGTACTGAGGCCGAAGCATCTGAAGAAGGGATCAGCTTACTCATCAGCAGAAAGCTGGTGAAGCTGATGAATGGGGAAGTTCAGTACCTAAGAGAGGCGGGGCGATCAACTTTCATTATATCCGTTGAACTTGCAGTGGCTACCAAGTCAAGCTGCTGATGATTTCAGGAACCTTTCAAACTAGTAGATCTGTATAGTGAAAAAGGATTTCAAGTTATCTGTGTTTGGAGATCTTGCTGTCTTGTGATGTTCCTCCTCTTTGGCACCCTCGGGTTCTTTTTAATAAGTTTCTTGAACTATTGCATCTTCAACATTTCAGCATTTCCAGTTTCATTATAATTCCATGTGCAATCAGAAATTTTTATCACTTTTGGGAGGCAGAATTTCAAGATTTCCTATTTCTAAGATACCATCTTTCCTTTTCATCAAGAAAAGATAAAGGATGATCGAAATGGTAAAGAACAATCTTACGAATGAAGATAATATATCCATACCAGCATTATCTAGGCAAAAAATTTACCCTAGGTCATTGCTGTTCTTTTACATCTTACTCTCTTGAGGTGCGGTACTTCCTCGTGTGGCATGTTTCGTGCATTACTGTTCTTTTTATTGTCAAAGTATTTCTTTCAATTCAAATTGTATTAATCATAGCAATGAAAGAGAGATTGGAAGGTGAGACTATGAGAAATGAAATAGAGATTTAAAAGGATACGATTCCTTAACAGGGTTTGAACGTGCAACTATGAGAACAACTGGGGAATTGTGAATTCTTGAAGGGAGTTGGGAGATAAGTGTAATGATCGGATCAAAACCTCATCTTGGGAGGTGCTTACGCCTTGAAATAATGTTCTCATTCTATCATATAATTAATGGTTAGACCTAGAAAAAGAATCAAAGATTAAGGGTGTATTTGGTACGAAGGAAAATATTTTTCAATTTTTTCATGTTTGGTTAAATGTTGTGAAAAACATTTTTCTCATGAACTCAATTGAAGGAAAATGTTTTCCTTATCAAGAGAAGGGAAAACATTTTCTAAAATTCTTTTTCAACATATTCCACCCTATTCTCCATCCCCACCAACTCCCACCCGAACCGTCACCCCACCCACACTTGAGTGTCTTGCAAAGGCATCTGCTTGTCTATTTTTTTTTTCCTTTCAGCTACTTATTCTTTTCCCTTAATATTGAAAATTTTGATTTAATTAAAATAACAATTGACACTAGCTGTAAATAAATATTCTTTCGAAGGTTCAAGATATTTAATAATCTAAGAAAGATTCATATCCAACATATATTATCATCCTCTTTTGAGGTCCCATCTTATTGTAATATGGTAGAGTAATTAAAACATATATCATGCATCTAATATAGATGAGAAATGTTTGTTTTCCGACCTTGGACCAATTATGAAGAAGAGAACTAATGTTAACTTGTTGGCCTGATGTGTATACGTGCGGCTTTATATGTAAGATAACATCTCCTAAAAAAGAAATATGAAGCCTGGATCTCATAAATAATGGTCATGTAAATTGCAATCCGTTAGTAAATAATTTTATCAGGTCATTTTGTATGTGAACATTAGTAACAAGATGTTCTACAACTATTCCAATTGACCTCCTGGACCAGTTGCATAATGCTACCATCACACGTCTACAGAGTCACAGAGAGGAGAATCGAGTGGCAGATAGATTAGCGAAGGAAGGTTGTTCGATGAAACCAATTATGTCACCTACTGTTTTTGCATCGCCCCCAGTTTTTGTTAGCACCATCTTACAACATGATCAAACAGGAGGAGTACAATATAGGAAGATCAAGTCAATGCGAGATTAGCTGGAACTACACATGGAAACCACAACAACACTTTTTGCTGCACACAACCATGGACCTGCCACAGCTGCCAATGGACTTGCTACAGTAGGGAGTTCTGTATTAACTAGTGATCAGCCTATTGTTTGTACAAACTTACCTCCTAATCCTACTTGTAATAGTCGCCAAACTAGCTCTCCTGATATGATGCATCGCGCTCTTTGTGGAACTTCTTTTAATAGTTAAGGCAATTTTATCTTTTGTACCCAAAAAAAAAAAAATTGTTCCAATTGACACACATGAAAGCACTTCATACCTCAAGTTTTGAAAATTGAAAAATTTGGAATGTGGAGACTTATAGCCTGTTTGGCCAAGCCGGAGAAATCAATTTATTTTGAAAAGTGCTTTTGAAAAAAGTAATTTTTGAGAGAAACAATTTAATTTGTGTTTGGCTAATCACTCTAAAAAGCACTTTTGAGCAATAATTTGTATTTGACAAGCATTTCAGAAAGTGCTTTTAAGTATCAAATTACGAATAAGGGCATGAATAGATTTACTTAATATTTAATATTATAAGTAAATAAATAATCTCAAAAATTTATTATTATAAGCAATAATTAAATCTTTTCATTTTATTTAAGTAAAATATAAAAATAAAATTAAAAAGTACTTAATTCTTTTAATATACGTTAAATATATTAAAATTCATTCAACAATAAAGCATTCACCCCTAAAATCACTATATATTAGAAAGCTATCCTAAAAATAAGAAGAAATACTTATACATTAATATCCTAAGTATTAGGTTTAATGGTTATTTTGGTATATATTATATTTTGTTAACGGTACTTTAGGTGAGAAAAAAAGAAGTCAAAACTGATTCTACTTCTCCCAAAAAACACTTTTTCCCCAAAAAAGCTTGGTCAAACACCACAAGTTAGGAAAAAAGAAATGCTTTTGGGAAAAAAATATTTTTGGCCTCTTGAGAAGCTTGGCCAAACAGGCTATTAGATACCTCGAGGATCTTTTCATGAGGAAAAATACTCACTCTAGTATTATTTTTTTTACCAAAGTTTTTGTTCCACTATGTTTTTCCTGGTACAGGTTCTTAGTGAGACAATAATTCATCGCGTATTTTGCCAAGAATTATGTAATTTTTTTCTATTCACCATGTTATTTCTTATTGAGTTTTTTCTTAATAAGATGTTGACGAGACATATTATGTCAATTGGAAATTGTATGAATCAAGGTTATTCTTTAAAGTGGATATCCATTATACATGATCGTATTTAATAAATCCATCAGTATACTGTATTGGATGGAGTTCTACTATGTACAAATGACTATTTCCGTAGTCATTACAATGACATTACATACCAAGAAAACAAGAGAATAAATATGGCATAATATATAAACAGACACTCAAACTTAGCTCTGCTAACAAGTATGCCCTCCAATTTTGGGTATGCACAAGTAGACACCTCAACTTATCCCAACTTACAAAATGATCATTTAGACACCTCTAAAGTTTATGTGCCACGTCAGTGCCGTGTTAGTATTTGTGTTTACATGTTCAACTTTATACAAGTTGAGGTGCATATTTGTGCACATCCAAAGTTAAGGGCATACTTGCCAGTTGAAACCAAGTTTGAGGGCATGTTTAGATAGTTTTATTCAAAAATTTTATTAAAAAAGAAACTAAATATTTTTCGAAACATGCATTTTCTGAAACTCATAAAATAGGAAAAAACGCAAATCCACTTACGATAAGATATACAAGCTATTAGAAAAAAAATTCTTGGACATTAAACATGTAAGTTATTTGTATTTTTTATATAATTATAATATTTCATTATAGGAAATTTTCATTTTTATTTTGAGGTTTTTATTACATTTTATTTGCCCGTTTAAAATTATATTAAAGTTACTTAGTTTTAGACGAAATTGCATTTGTGTATGGTTTTCATTGTATAAGAGGTTTAATTATTTAAACAAATAAAGATAACATTATTATATCTAAGAGTTTCGAAAGATAAAACTATTTTGTCAAATACGTAAATATTTTAGTCATATTATTAAAATAATTTTGTTTTACTTTCTATTAAGAGTTTCAAAAAATATATTCTAAAAAAGTATTTACTTTTTAATCAAAAGCGTGAATACAATTTTTTATCAAGAAAAATATTATACTTTTTATTATCAATTTTAATTTTGTAATAACTTATATTTTTTGGTATTTAATTAATTTTTAGCAACCTCGCGAAAGCCTTATTGCAAAAATGAGATCCACTATGTACTTTAAATATGTTATTTGCATTATTGCTTTTGCTAACTGTGAGATCCATGTAATAGATCATCATACTCTGTCTTGCAGCTTGAGGAAGATGAAGACTTTGTTGATGTTGTTAATCCCTATACAAAAAAGACTTTACACTGGTAGGATTTCAACTTCACTATGATCAATTTTTAGATTATAACCTATACAATCTAGAAATTAAACTCTTAATCCCTCACTAACTTGTAATACACCTATTACAAGCCACTTTGCAATACACATATTACAAAGACTTCAATTCATGACTAACTCTAGTCACGACACAAACACCAAAAGTTTATGGTTTACAAGGGGTTCCTAAGTAAAACTTCTAGATAAGCAAAGTAGGAATTACAATGAAGAACAATTACAAAGTTACAACTCAACTAAGGACATACATGAGACTTGTTGTAGGAACTGGTCCGTAGTAGCGTTGTACTTTGTTCTTGATGCACTTGAGAATTGAATGCTTGATTGTCAGATGCTTGAATGCTTGAGTTGAATTCTCTAAGTGTTCAAGTGTTGTTTTGTTGTAATGTTTATTGTTAATACAACATGGATGACATCACTTGAATGATGTAATCACTTGGTTGGTCAATGAGAAATGACTATTGTACTGTGATGCACTGTTTGCATGTACTGTGAAGGCAGTCACTTTCCAGCTATAGACAGTTGACTTCGTACTGCTGTCAGTGGAACCCAAGAGGATCGGTCCCTGTGTTGATTCTTTATCTTCTGAAGTCATAGCAACTCACATTAGCCTGAGTCCGTTGATTGAGTTGTGTTGAGTTATGTACCAAGTGTATCAGGTTCCTTATCTGGTTCTTTGATTGTAAGTTTGTTAGATCATCAAAACATAAATCTAATGTACTGTAAATCCATCAATTTTCCCATTTTTGATGATGACAAACTTAGAAATTGACAATCATATTTAAAGCAACAAAAACCAGATAAAGTGCCCGTTTGAATTGACTTAATTTAAGTACTTTTAAGCCAAAATAATTTTTAAGCTATTTTGTAGTATTTGGATAGAGTAAAAAAGTGCTTTTAAGCCCTTGTTTTTAAGTTAAAATGACAAAAACAAGCCAAAAGCCAAAAGCTATAATTCCTAACTTATGGCTTAAAAGCTATTTTGACTTAAAAGCCACTTAAAATAAGCTCATCCAAACGGGCTCAAAGTAACAGGAACTTCACAAGTTCCCCCTCACTTTGTGCTTCCCCCTTAATCAGATCCCCTGCTTTCAAATTTATCATATTTTCC